TCCACTAGTATTACATCAATGCTGATTGGTTAATCAAATGTCTGACGTCATAGGGTCATAAGTCGGTCTTTTCACCCCTGACGTGACCTATCGCTATAACTTGTCAGATCTTCATGTAGTGTAGGCCATCGAAAGTATAAAAAAACGAAACGAAATATAGATCTGTATTTTAATCAGATTGAACCGGGCGATAATACGCCAGACATAATCATTATATAAAAATTGTTTTACTTTTGTTGTATATATTAGGTTACATATATACATTTAGTCTAATCATTGCTCCAGCCTAAATTCAACTTTAAATTGTCTAAAGGCAAAGTCGTAAGCAAGGGAATAACTTATATTAACTATGCAATCCGCGATTACTTTTGCATATTATGGACCAAGTTATTGTGTACACCTATAGCCCCCTTCAAAATTTCCATCACATGCACATGCAGTTCAGGATAAACTTTGTACGCAGTTTATATGAATATCAAAACGCTACAGCCCTCGGGGCCAATTAAATGGACAAACTGCGGTGGTCTTGGATTCCGTAAAAATAAAAGTTATATTCTACTGGGCCGAAACAACTTCCTTGACATCCAAGTAGACCGAAACGACTCGAGCCAAACCAACGCCCCCTCCCTCTTCGACTCTTCCTGATAACTAGGTCAAACATGGCTGATGTTCAACAGCGCAATGTAAACAAACTATGATTTTTCATGAGAGAGAGTTTATATAGCTTGATCTGAATTTTGTTTCCTCGTGTAAGAAAGTAATGGGATGGCAATTCCAGGTATGTCACTAAGTCTTTAGAATAAGAGAGGCCCTAGGCAAAACCCCCTGAACAGGGCCCACGACATGGACCTTGGGGCCCTGGGACAAGCAACTCGGTGAGAGGGTGGGTCAGAGGAAGTTATGCGGTTGGTGGTTCGAATCTCACTTTTAGGTGAATTTTTCATTTTCGTTGGATTATTTTATTTAAAATAATGTCTATTTGAGAGTAATGGATATGTTTGTTAAGATTGAGCACGTCGATACTCCAATGGAAGGTCGTGGACAACTGCGGAAGCCAATTCCCGTCGACACCAGATGAGCCATGAACGATTACAGGCCTTTGAAAGTATTTTTTTTCAAGATATTTTTATAAAACAGATACTAATGTATTTTAGGGCTGGTAGTAAACACCATATGAATGAAAAGGAAAATAAATTGTTAGGTTTTTTTTTATCTACTACGGTTAATTATCTCCAAAATAGGGAAATTACAGATTAATTTCATGGGTTATTGTTTCCTTTACCTAGTTTTTGTCAAGTCGATTCCGGTAATTTTTATACGCCCACATTGAAATGTGGACGTATATTGCTGTCGCCCCCGTCCGTCTCTGTCCGTCGGTCCGTCCGTCCATCCGTCCATCGTCCACAATTTCTTGTCAATGCTCTAACGCCAAATATTATCATCCAATTGTTTTAAAATTGATATATGTTGTTTACATTAGTGAGATGAGGAAGCCTATTTAATTTCAATAATTTCTGTTTATTACGTCTAGTGTTAGGTCCCTGTTTCACTTTGTTGAACCTTGTGAACGCTCTAACGTCAAAAGTTATCATCCGATCTTTCTGAAATTTATATGCATTATTTAGATTACTGAAACGAAGAAGCCTATTCAATTTCAGCAATTTCCATTTATTACGTCTAGAGTTATGGCCCTTGTTTCACTTTATTGATCCTTGTTAACGCTCTAACGTCAAAAGTTATCATTCGATCTTTCTGAAAATTATATGCATTATTTAAATTAGTGAGACGAAGAAGCCTATTGAATTTCAGCAATTTCCGTATATTACGTCTAGAGTTATGGCACTTGTTTCACTTTATTGAACCTTGTAAACGCTCTAACGCCAGAAGTTATCACCCGATCTTTGTGAAATTTATATGCATTATTTAGATTAGTGAAACGAAGAAGCCTATTGAATTTCAGCAATTTCCGTTTATTACGTCTAGAGTTATGGCCCTTGTTTCACTTTATTGATCCTTGTGAATGCTCTAACGTCAAAAGTTATCATTCGATCTTTCTGAAAATTATATGCATTATTTAAATTAGTAAGACGAAGAAGTCTATTGAATTTCAGCAATTTCCGTTTATTATGTCTAGAGTTATGGCCCTTGTTTCACTTTATTGAACCTTATGAACACTCCAACGCCAAAAGTTATCATCCGATCTTTGTGAAATTTATATGCATTATTTAGATTAGTGAAACGATGAAGCCTATTGAATTTCAGAAATTCATGTTTATTACGTCTACAGTTATGGCCCTTGTTTCACGCCAAAAGTTATGACCCGATCTTTGTGAAATTTATATGCATGATTTAAATTAGTGAAACGAAAAAGCCTATTGAATTTCAGCAATTTACAATAATTACTTCTAGAGTTATTGCCCTTGTTTCACTGAGTTATTGCCCTTGTTTCACTTTATTAAACTTTGTTAATGCTCGATTGATGAAAGTTATCATCCGATATGTATGAAATTTTTATGCATCATTTAAATTTGTGAAACAAGTCTATTTAATTTCAGCATTTCCGTCAATAATTTCTAGATTTATGGCGATTGTGAACATTTGAATGACAAAAGTGATCATGTGATCTGTATGAAATTTATATGCATTATTTAAATTAGCAAAACAAAAAAGCCTGTCAAATTTCAACAATTTTTGTATATTTCAGTTTGTAGAACCTTGTAAACCCTCAAACGACAAAATTTATAATCTGATCTGTATGGAACTGTCTTGTAAAGGCCCCCAATTACCTACAAAGGAATAAATATGCGACAACCCTTGTCGAACGCTCGGACGATTTAGCTGTTGTTGGCGTATGTTTTGTTGCCTGGCAACCTATCTTTATTTTTTGTATCAAATGTTGGGAGGTTGCTTGTTCACGTGAACATAAATTCTTTAAACCCACCCCATGAAAGAAGTAGCTATAGGGCGTCAAACTTTGGGTGACGAAAAATGGGGAATTTAGACAGGCTTTGATATCCAGTCCGTATACAGATCTCGTTTGCCAGAATCGTCTGAAGTTAATATTGTGGTAACAGCACTGAGTCATCTACAAACTGTGTCAGTTTGGTCTTTCTGCTACGTATAGTAAAGGTGTAAGGACTTGCCAAAGTTGGTATTTGAGAAAAGACAGATTTTGGCAATTTCACCATATGAAAAATGTTTTTTCAATTTTCTGTCAGGAATTGAAAGATTTATCTAATATTGCACATTTATGTATTTTGGGACTATCCCAACTTATAAACCAAATTTGGTCAAAATCTGTGATTGAAGCCTTGGCACCGTCTGCATGGTTTTCTCGCGGACATGATGCAGGATGGAGGGGCTGACAAGGAAAGCTGTCTAGTCGTTCGGATGGGACGAAAAACCGAGGTCCCGTGTACACATTGGCGTGCACGTAAAAGATCCCTTGGCAGTTGGAATTCGATATAAGAGTAGGCCGTAGTGCCGCTGTCCGGGCAAAATTTCCCTCATAGCACACTAAATGGCGTATGCCCGTCTTCATTAGCCCAGGTTAGCTGAACAGAAGGACATTAAACTCCATTTCATTTCATTTTCTCGCGGACACGCTCTTAATATGCGTCATCTATTTATTTTGGGATTTCGGCGGAGGACATCAGCCACTTTGTTGGCTTGTTGTAAGCAGTTTAGAATAAATCCAATAACTTTTATGACAATTCTGAATAAAAAGACTGTGTGATAAATAATGAAAAACATAAAGTAATTGTTTTATTTTACTGATTTTAAACAGATGGTATGTTTAAAAAAAGATAGTTTTATTATTAACCCTTTTAGATTAAAAGCAAGGCCCAAGAGCAAATCCAAAGTCGAGTGGTTAGTTGGTGAGTGTGTTGGCACGAACATTGCACCAGAGGCATCACAGACATGTATAGGATCTGGAACCCACCCAGAATTGTTTTTTGAGAATTCAATTTTATTTCCTATAATCCTCGTGGGAGAATAATTCCACTTAGTTACATGTCTAAACCTCAGAAATGTATTGCTGGATGGCTGAGTGAATTAGAAAACTGAGAGGCAAAAAATACATTTACTTATAACTTCATTTACTTTGCACACAAAACATTCAGTGAAGAATATATTGCCTTGTTTACCAGTGGCTGTATACAAAAATTTATTGATCCATTTCAAAAATAAAAATAAATTAGTTAAAACAATTGGCCGAAAAAATCCCACAGCCATGGCCGTTTTTGGTCCCTGATATTGATCTGAAAGTAACCTATTGTTTAATGGTCAAATTCTCTAATAAAAGAATCAATCTAGTTCCAGATGTATTCTGTTCATTCACAAATTCTGAAACAGAAGGACAAATTGCTCAATTCCATATGTAATAATTTATATGCTATAAACTTCTATTTTCAATTTAAGGGGTGGTATTACTTTATTAAGAAATTAAAAACACTTTATTTCATATTCAGTGCAAATGTAGCATGGTTTCCCCTGGTCACTGGTGCAGGACAGAGGGGATGAGACAAAAAACTGATGTATATGTTGGTGTGGACGTAAATGAAACCTTGACAGTTGGAATTCATCCGTCATTAGGGTGTCATATATGTGAACAGTTTTTAAAATCGGATAAAACTTGTAGCTTCAAGAGGTCCACAAACTAAAAATATTATAATATTGTACAGGAACCATAATCCATGAAGTTACGGTCCTATACATTCCAGTATCGAAAGGAACCAAGATCTTTGGGATATAAACCTACATTTCAAGTTTCGTCAAAATTGGATAAAAATTGTGACCTGTAGTAGAGTGTCTACAAATAAAATGTGAATTGACGGACGGACAGGGGCGACAACAATATACGTCCACATAAAGCTGTACTTGAGATACAGCTTCTGTGTGGGCGTATTCCAGGCTTTGCATGGCTATCTTTTAATATTGCATGTAAATTGTAATTTAAACATTATAAATTAAATTATAAATGAATTGCTCTATTTCAGGTAGTTTTAGTGTGTTGGAATGAACCATATCAAAAATTAGCAACATGTGATAGTCGAGGTGTGATATTTGTGTGGATTAAGCATGAAGGGCGGTGGTCTATAGAACTGATCAATGATAGAAATAATCAGGTAGGCATGTCAGATAAAACTGGAAGGTTGGTTTCTGTTGAGGTGTGATATCTTGCTTAGTTTGAGACTTCCATGGATTTGAGTTATGAGTTTTAAATGGTAGCAGAGCTACGAGAATTTACCTAATGCAGAACCATATGCATACAAGGTTTTGGGGAGCCAAAGTGGCCCAGTGAGTAAGGTGCTGGATCACTAACTAGGGGTCCAGGATTTGATCCCGGTGTTGGCCAAGAAAGGACCTCAGGATTTTCAAACATGGTTTCCCCTTGTCAGTGGTGTCACATTGGCATGCTCATAAAAGATCAATTGGCAGTATGAATTCGAAAAAAGAGTAGACTGTAGCGCCATTGTCGGGGCAAAATTTCCCTCATATAGTTCCTCCCAAATTTTTGGGACCGAAATCGCTGCAACGCGTCGAAAAAAAACAACCTCAGAATTCTCTTAGATTTTGCCCTGAAATTTCGCTTGATTTTTGGCTAGGATTTGCTTGGAATCCACCGTGTTTCGCTAAGAATTCGCCATGTTTCGCTAAGAATACATTGTGTTTTGCCATGCTTCACCCAAGGAACTCATGAGCCTTTCGTCGGCTTTTACCGCCGGCTTTTATACGGTAACAGTAGTGTCGTGATTTCTCGAAGACCCTTCACTTATTTGTATTTTCCGATGGCTATAAAGGTTATTTTACGGCATTTGTAAGTTCTATAAGTTGAATTTAAGGTATGTTAACATTGAGCGAGGAGATAGAGAGAGAAATGGGGTTTAACGTCCACTCAACACAAACTAGGTCATTTCGGGACTAACATATGGTTTAATTTTATTTACATAATTCGCTAGCCCGTAGGGGTCTTTAGCAGTGGGAGGAAACCGGAGGACCCGGAGAAAACCCACAAGGTTGGACAGGTGACCCTACTCCTTGCCACGTACAACCGGGGATTCGAAACCACGCCAGTCGACTCAATGACAGACTTTATGATACAGCGCGCGCACGATAACCATTCAGCCATCCAACCCCCCCATTGAGCGAGGAAGCTAGGGTCGAACTAATATTGTCTATAATAAATTGAAGGAGTTGTAATATAGTAATGCTGCCGAGAAAACGTGTACATGTATAATGTACAGGCCGGTTTAAATAATAACAAAATGGGTTAGGTAATGTCGGGAAAACGTTTACTGGCATTCTGTATCGGTTAGGATATTTATTTCTAACGCACTATACATAGGGCTAAAATGTGTGCAATCAATGAACAACTTACAGTTTTTTAAACGTATCATTTGATCTTCTTCTTTGAGCGGCATTTATCAATTGACATACGTAATACAAAAAAACATAATATGGAACACAATTACTATTTTATTTAAAGCGACCTTTCGTTGAGGGTTCTTTCAACGTTTTCAAGCAAATGATAATGAAAAATAATGTACAGAGGGTTTATATACAAAAACAAGTAACAACTAATTAATCTAATTAATAGAGAAACCATTTATTATATTAAATCAATAGGGAAACCATTTATTATATTAAATCAATAGGGAAACCATTAATATATAAGTCAATCTTCTATCATTTGATCTTCGTCTATAACTTAGATGTAATTCCATTAATTATTGGCTGCTATCAAATCCACATTTAGATTATATACGATGAGCTTTTACACATTACTTCATTACTCGCAGCTTCAGTTAATCTTAATCAACCATCCATACAGCACATCATAAATCACTCCGCAATGTACATAACGGTAAGTCACGTGGTCAGAAACGCGCCAAAAGATTGAGTGGTTGGGTTCGACACAGGAACTATATTCTTACTGCTGTATTACTCTACTTATCGATGGCCAAAACTATTCACACTAGGAAATAGCTAATGGTTCATATAGTTTATCGGAAGTGTATTACTTTCACGAAGCATTTCACGCTTTTCCGATAGCCGTGAATGTCTTTATTTACGGCATTTGTAAGTTCTACTTTCCTTCGTTAAGGGGGCAACTTAGAAGTATTCCACTGATCGAACGCTTGAATATATTATAATCAGTAACAGATCTACATGAACACATAAACTACCTATTCTGTTTTGCCGAATTAAGAAAGAGAGAGAGAGAGAGAGAGAGAGAGAGGGGTTTAACGTCCACTCAACACAGACTAGGTCATTTTGGGACTAACATATGGTTTACTTTTATTTCAATAATTCGCTTGCGCGTAGGGGCCTTTAGCAGTGGGAGGAAATCGGGGGACCCGGAGAAAACCCACGAGGTTGAACAGGCAACCCTACTCTTTGTCACGTACAACCGGGGATTCGAAACCACACCAATTGACTCAATGACAGGCCACATGATACAGCGCGCACGTGCTAACCATTCAGCCATCCAACCCCCCATTGCCGAAATTAAAGAAATCGTCATCCGTTTATATCCAAGGAGTAATGCACCGCGTGGATAAAACTCATTCTCTTGGCGAATGAATACATACATTGTATCAAATAAGTCCCCAAATTGAACCCATGACCACTCGGACCAAGACCAGTTTGACCAACTGATAGACCACCAGGACCAAACAAAAAGACTACTCGGACCATACAAAAAGACTACTTAGACCAAACAAAAAGACCACTTGGACCAATAATAAAGTGTTGTTTTAATAAGTTAATAATTGTGTTTGTTTTAATATGACTACTCGAATCAATAAGAAAGTGATGTTTTAATTGTTGTTTTATTAAATTGATAATTGTGTTTGTTTTAATATGCATCTGTTTTCTTTGAAATAATAAAGTGTTATGTACTTATCCATGGTATTTTTTCATCATGAAGCACATCAAAGAAAATCAGTTAAAAAAACGATAACCGAGTAGTGATTAATTCGTATGTATCTGTACTCGCCCATGTTACTAGCTGCAATATTTGTAGCCTTGATAATTCTTATTCATGGCTACAATATTGATACACTATTCGAGGCTTTGAGCAAGTAAAATTAGGTTCAATTGCAAAATGATCACAGTTTGCATGGAAATAAGTAATTATGTTACAAATAGTGAAGAATGGAACACTGTAATCTTAATCTTATCTTACCAAACAGTTATGTATTTTCGGCAAAATGGAAGACATCGGTAGTGGACTACTCGAACCAATAATAAAGTGTTGTGTTTATTGTTGTTTTAATAAATTTATAATTTTGTGTTTGTTTTAATATATGCATATGTTATCGATGCAGGTTTAATCACGAAACTTGCGTATACACCGTCTAGTATAATGTAAACATACATGTATAAGCTTATAGATTGCAGTTACATAGGGTACATGTATATGCAGTAGGAAATCGGGAAGTTGAACGTACAAAGGAATGGAATCGTTCAGAAAGTGTAATCAAATTAAGTAAATTACAACGGGGTGAAGGCGAGAATTAACACACGTGTAATGTACACGTCTGTGTGTGTGTGTGTGAAATGGCTTTATTTAATATCCGCTTCAACCGAAATGAAATGGGCGACAAACAGTAGATGTATATTGTCACAGTGGAGATTTTTCGACGGCTGTGCAAAATCACGTAAGAATATCCCTTGGTTGAATGCATGTACATGTACAGTATATATACACAATTTGTAAAATAACAAATACATGGCACTGTCACTTTTGTGACCTTCACAATATACCCCCTCCCACCCATATCGTTTTAATGCGTCAGAATACATTATTATCATATACCGGTGACGGTCAAGATTTGCTAAATACTTTTCGCCAAGTAACACAGCGTAAGAATATGTCCCCATGTCGAACCCAACATCTCATGTTTTGGCGCGTTTCTTACAACGTGACATACCGTTAAGCGCATTGCGGAGTGATTTATGGCACTGTGCTGTATGGATGGTTGATTTAGATTAACTGAAGCTGCGAGTAATGAAGTAATGTGTAAAATCTCATCGTACATAATTTAAAGTTTGGATTTGATAGCAGCCAATAAGATGAAATGATACGTTTAAAAAATTGCAAGTTGTTCGTTGTTTGCATACATTGTGGTCCCACGTTATGCATGTACAGTGTGTTAGAAAAAAAATACGACCGTAGCTTCCTCGCCAACGGTTAACATATCTTGTATTCAACTTAAATAAATAACATTTTTCTTCAACATGCTTACATCGGGATGATATCAGCACTCAAGCAATTCACCGTGTTCCACCGCGAAACACCATAATACACATCGAAACACCCTATTTCGCGGTGATTTGGCTAGCTGCCGTTTCGCTAGCGATTCTCCACGATTCCACAGTGAAACAGAGTGTGTTTCCGCCGTGTTCGTCGATTCTAGTCCCAAACTCCAGCACCATAGTGTACATGTAGCACTCTGCATGGCGTGTGTCCGTCTTCATTAGTCCAGTTGATGTTGAACAGTAGGATATTAAACCCCATTTTATTCATTCATTTGAAGATTTGCTCACTGTTGTGGGAAAAGCTGGATAGCAGAATTAAAACACCTTTATTTCTTTCAGATACACGACTTTATAGATCAACAAAGATATAGTATGCATTATAACTGTTATATTCCAAATAATATTTCCTTACTAAGAACTGATGAGATAACGCAAAACTACAATCACATAAATTGCAACATTCAATGTATATCAAATTGAATAGGCCAACAACATCAATAGGTCATACTGACTTGCAGTATATCAGATTGGAAAAATCTTTGAAAAAAGTATGCTCCAGGTATTTAACTGTATACAGATGCAACGGTCTGGCTTGTTTGATAACATCCACATAATGAGCTGGAACATAAATGGTTTGCGACAGAGGGTTCTTTCAATTATGCATTTCAGTATGGCTCTTTTCGTTCACCAACCAGGTCAATAATGTTGTTAATATAATTAAAGAGACAAAAGATGCAAAATGATTTGCTTCCGGGCCCACTTCTCCCTCTTGCCAGATCATAAATTGTATAATTATGACATGCACGTTTTGTTTTGTAGTACCATACATTGATCTTTCTTGTAAAATTTGAGCTATCCAAAC